ACATCATACATGAAGAAAGCAAGAGGTCATTAAAGAGACAGGAAAGAAAGACCAAAATGGATGTCAGAAGAGACTCTGAAACTTGCTCTTGAACATAGAGTAGCTAAAACGAATGGAAGAAATGATGAAATAAAGGAGCTGAACAGAAGATTTCAAAGAGTGGCTCAAGAAGACAAAGTAAAATGTTATAATGACATGTGCAAAGACCTGGATTTAGCTCAAGCTGAAAGAACTGAAGAAAAAATTCAAGCCTTAAGTTGCAATATTGAAGGATTCCATGGGTAAAAAATTGAACAATGCAGGAAGCATAAAAAGAAGATGGAAGGAATACACAGAGTCACTGTACCAAAAAGAATTGGTCAATGTTCAACCATTTCAGGAGGTAGCATATGATCAAGAACCAGTGCTACTGAAGAAAGAGGTCCAAGCTGCACTGAAAGCATTGGTGAAAAACATGGTTCCAGGAATTGACGGAATACCAGCTGAGATGTTTCAGTGAACTGATGCAGCACTGTGGGTACTCAATTGTCTATGCCAAGAAATTTGGAGAACAGCTACCTTGCCAGCTGCCTGAAAGAGATCCATATTTGTGCTCATTCCAAAGAAAGGTGATCCAACAGAAAGAGGAAATTATTGAACAATATCATTAATATCACACTCAAGTAAAATTATGCTGAAAATCATTCAAAAGCTGTTGCAGCAGTGCACCAACAGGGAACTGCCAAAAAATTCAAGCCAGACTCAGAAGAGGATGTGGAACCAGGGATATCATTGCTGATGTCAGATGGATCTTGGCTGAAAGCAGAGAATACCAGAAACGTGTTTACCTCTTTTTATTGAGTATGCAAAGACATTACACTCTGTGGATCATAACAAATTATGGATAACATTGCAAAGAATGGGAATCCCAAAACACTTAATTGTTCTCTTGGGTAACCTGTACGTAGACCAAGAGGCAGTCGTTCTAACAGAACAAGAGGATACTTCATGGTTTAAAGTCAGGAAAGCTGTGCTTCAGGATTGTATCCTTTCACCATACTTATTCAATTTGTATGCTGAGAAAATAATCTGAGAAACTGGACTATATGAGGAAGAAAGTGGCATTAGGATTGTAGGAAGACTCATTAACAACCTGCAGTAAGCAGATGACACAACCTTGCTCGCTAAAAGTGAAGAGGACTTGAAGCAGTTACTGATGAAGTTCAAAGACTACAGCCTTCAGTATGGATTATACCTCAACACAAAGAAAACAGAAATCCTCACTACTGGACCAATGAGCAACATCATGATAAGCAGAGAAAAGACTGAAGTTGTCAAGAACTTCATTTTACTTGGATCCACAATCAACACCCATGGAAGCAGTAGTCGGGAAACCAAACTACGTATTGCACTGGAGAAATCTGCTGTAAAAGACCTTTTTAAAGTGTTTGAAAGCAAAGATATCATTTTGAGGACTAAGGTGTGCCTGCACCAAGCCATGGTATTTTCACTAGCCTCATATACATACGAAATCTGGACAATGAGTAAAGAAGACTGAAGAAGAATTGATGCCTTTAAGTATGGTGTTGGGGAAGAATATTGAATGTACCATGGACTGGCAGAATGAACAAATCAGTCTTGGAAGAAGTACAGCCAGAATGCTTCTTGTAAGAAAGGATGGGGTGACTTTGTTTCAAGTAGTTTGGACATATTATTAGGAGAGACCAGTCCCTGGAGAAGGACATCATGCTTTGTGAAGTAGAGGGTCAGTGAAAAAGAGGAAGACCCTCAATGAAATGGGTTGACACAGTGGCTACAACGATGGGCCCTAGCATTACAATGATTGCGTAGATGGCACAGGGCCAGGCAGTGTTTCGTTCTGTTGTTCATAGGGTTGCTGTGAGTCAGAACAGACTTGACACCAACAACAACAACATATAAGTCTCAGGTATATTTTCTTTTAGCTTGAAGAAGAAATTAGATTTTACATGCTAGTTTCCATGGATAGTATTCTAGATGGATACGCGGCTGAAATCGTCCAAACAACCCATTGTGGTCAAGTCGATTCTGACTCATAGAGACCCTACAGGACAGAGTAGAACCGCCCCATAGGGTTTTTAAGGCTGTAATCTTTACAGAAGCAGACTGCCACATCTTTCTCTCATGGATCAGCTGGTGAGTCTGAACCTCAGACCTTTTGGTTAGCAGCTGAGTGCTTAGCCACTTCACTACCAGGGGTTCATTTGGATGGATCCCAACCAAAAAAAAAAAAAAATACAAACCAACTGCCGTGGACTCAATTCTGACTCATAGCGACTGTACAGGGTTTCCAAGGCTGTAATCTTTAGGGAAGCAGATTGCCACATTTTTCTCCTGCAGATCAGCTGGTAGATTCCTAACCAGCCGAATTCTTTAACCGCTGCACCACCAGGGCTCCTTTTTTAGGTGGATAGGCCTCGATTACAAAGACAGCTGTTTGTTAATACACATTTTGGGAACTTGTCCATTTCAGGAAATATAATTTAAGCAATATTATCATTCAAGCCATCTTAGTTTGATTTGGAATGTCACTTTCAAGAAGGGAAATGAAACATACCACCAGCATTCGTTGAAAGTTTTGAGTCATTTTTTTCTGCAATATTAGTTTAATAAGGATTAACACATTTGGAAAATCCTTTCACTATTTTCATTGTGAAGGGTATTTATTTTTGTTGCTGTAAAAACTAGAAGCAGATGTGAAAAGGCTGGGAAAGTGTGAGTCTCTCTTTTTCCACATAAAAAGTACCTTAGATGACAATTACTATCCTATTACCTTGAGAGCTGGTGTTCTTCATTAAGCTGTGATCAGCATGTGTGGAGTCAGGTCAGGCCAAGGAAGATTAGCAGCAAAATTGAAATGTGTCCCAGTTGCTTTCCCACATCACTTCCTCTCTGATCACCGGTGGCCCACACCATGACTCAGTGTGACCTCATCTCTCTTGACAGTTCTCCATTAGCCTTACTTAATCCTGGTTTTTAAAGACTTCCTTGCCTCAAAATTTTGCTTTGAGTTTTCAAAATGATAGCTTTTAGGCTAATTGCATCCGATGCATTAGATTGAATACATGAGACATCAGAACCTTTAATGAGATGGATTGACACAATAGCTACAATGAACTCAAACACATAATGATCATAAAAATGGCAACATTTTGTTCTGTTATATGTAAGGTTTAATCAGGTTACCATGAGTCAGAGCTGACTCAATGGTACTTAACAACAATAACAACAATCTTAACGAAATACACATTGACTGATGGAAATTTGGTCGGATCAGTGGATACAGCTATGGGAGGAAGGATTTTCTTCAAGTCCACCTAACAGTGAGGCAGGTGTTGGTGGGTCTGTGGGCATTATAAATAAAAACCAAAAACCGAATCCATTGCCGTGGAGTGGATTCCAACTCATAGCAACCCTACAGGACAGAGCAGAACTGCTCCATAGGTTTTCCAAGGCTATAATCTTTACAGAAGAAGATTGCCACATCTTTCTCCCTTGGAGGGGCTGGTGGGTTCAAACCGCCAAACTTTTGGTTAGCAGACTTGCTGCTTAACCACTGCACAACCAAGGCTCCTGCATTATGAATACAATTGATATACTGTATTGTTATGCAAATAATGCACACCTTCTACATTTGTTTGCCAACCACACCTTTCCCCTACAAGGTGTTTTTGTAAGCATACTGTGCTAATTTTTTTTTTTTTTACATCAACATGTTAAAAAAAAAAAAATTGATGGAGTGCTACTTACTAAAATACTTCCTGGGGAACGGCACCCTTGGAAAACCAACTTAGAAGATGTGCGTTGTTTGTGTAAAAATATGGTAATAAGAGGAAGAGAAGCTCTCTACCCTCAAGGAGCTTTCCTGACAGTGTTGAACCCTATGCTTACGATTTTGTGGAATTTTTGCTTATTAACAATTTTGTAACAAATGATGGCTAGTTTTAAAAGTCTTCATCTATCACCTAGATTGAATAGACACTGTTCCAGTGAAATTATAGTAAAAATAAATAATGCTGTACAGATAAAACTAGCAAATACATCAGGTGAAGTAGGAGGATGCAAAAACACTTCATTTATCCAAAGTCTCAGCTCTACAGATGAACTCACTCTAGGAAATGTAGCTAAGAATTAAAAATAAACAAAAGGCTTAGACTCACTACTATAAAAATGAGCAAACATACAAACTTTATTATGCAGTTGTAACTTCCTTTTTGGAAGAAAGTGGATATTTTCTCGGTACCTGTGTATTCTCTCCCTCAGTACCTGTATGTGATTTAATACAATTCTAACATGTTTATTTCATTTCTCAAGCTACAGAAAAAATAAACAAAGCAGTAGAAAGTGGAATATAGACATTAGTGATAGGCAAACTGAAAATATCAAAAAGTTTCAGCTGATAACAAGGGAGGCACAGAATACAAATCCCCCAAACTTAGAAATCTCAGACAGTTTAAGTAACAATTCTGTACACCACAATCCCTTGAATTTCTTAATATATTGAAGCCTAATTTAATCATTACTGTTTTTACCTCCTTGATTAATTAAGAAAGTGTTTTATTACATTTAGTATAATCCCTTTAGAATGCTGGCTGCAGCATGCATTTTTGAAATAATCACATCAGAATTATTAAAACAGAAAATCATAATGCTTATTGGTAGAAATTTTCCTGATTTAGAAAAGTTACTTGAAAACGTGGCCATGTTTTCCAGTTAAACAAGACTTGCCACCTCAAGCTTATGCCCTTTGTCTTATGCCATGATTTTGCCAACAGCTAAGAATATTTTAATCCTAGAAACTGAGGATAGAAAGAATATTCTAGAAGTTATTTCTTACCTTTTATTTGCATCTCTCCATTTTTCTTTCCATCTTCTCCATCACTGTGACTTGCTAGGAAAAAACAAAAGAAATGATTCAAGCTATATCAGATACCTTGCAATGTTTTTCATAAAAGGTATGATCTTGTGTTTTCTTTTCATAGACCCAGGACTGCATAGGCAGCTGTACTTCCTGCAACGACCATCCAACGTAGTAGCCACTGAAGGAAAAGATGCCGTCTTGGAGTGCTGTGTTTCTGGCTATCCTCCTCCAAGTTTTACCTGGTTACGAGGAGAAGAAGTCATCCAACTCAGGTATTACCGATTTAGGGCTTTTGTGGAGTATATGCTACTGTTTGTATTTCTCTAATGTGATGTGAGTATCCAGAAATAGTGGGGTATTTTCTTATAATAACTGGATATTTTTGACATTATAGTGTATGAACCACAGCATCCGAGATAAGTGGAGAAAACAGCGTCAAAATACATGAGATTGATCCTGAAAGGAAATTTAGAAAGCAGGGTTTGCCACTGAGATTATTTTGTCCAAAGAGCCTTCGGCAAAGATACTTTCAAAGATCTCATCCTAATAACATGATATAGAGAGTAAAATCGTTTTTAAAGAAACCAAGATTCCTTAGTCCAGATGTGTAGCAAGTCATAAAAGGCTCTGTACATTTTTCTAGCTCCAATTGTATCTGTCATCATCTCGGCCACTGCTAATATTTAAAACAAAACAGGAAGATAACTTGGCTGGCTTTGAATCAAAGGGGGCAGTTAACAATAAGGCAGTTAGAAAGTAGATACTTAATAGAATGAACTACCTGGTTTGAAACATTTTGATAAAATGGATCTGCCCTTAAGAAATTAATTTCATTGATTTTGGTCACTGGCATACACCTTCTTAACATATTTATTTTCTATGATGAAGTAGGTCCACAGGTCATAAATTAATCCTTGAATTTCATCTACCTTAAGTAATTATTCATATAACAGTATATAGTATGGTATCACAATCCTTCTGAGAACATTAAAGCATACCAAGATATCTGGGTGCAACTTCAGCATGTCAAGATATGGTCTCTGGATGTAGCCAGGTATTCATATTCAGTTTCAATATGAAATGAGGCTTTGTACAATGACCAGAGTCAGATTACTCAATAAGCAAGGTAAACACAGGCTTACTTGTGTTTACTTAATTTCACTACGGATTAGTAAATAAACACAAGTAAACCTATGTTTACCTTGCTCAGTGGGTAATCTGTCTCTGTCAGGGATTGTAAATTGGAAAGAAAGCCAGTCATCATATATCATATATCACTACTTCGAGTCTGTAGGAAGGTGCTGTAGGGTGGGGAGAGAGATGCCAGCCATACCTAGAAGCAGAAACTTTGATGTGAAAAAACGTGAAATTGTTTACTACAGATGATCTGGTAAACAAGGTAAGCACCGTGCCTACCTTGCCTATTGGATAATCTGCCCCTGACAATTTAATGGTCATTAAATTGGGATGTCAGGACACAGGACATTGACTTCTACTGTAGGCAACTACTTCTCTTGAAATTGAGGTCCTGAAATACAAAATGAGATAATTATACGAGATTATCTATAAATTCCCTCTCAGAATTTCTTCCAAGTTTAATCGGTTTCATTTCTTTGGTCACTGCACATGGCCTTCCAATGGGAAAGCTTACTGTCTTAGTTATCTAGTGCTGCTGTAACAGAAATGCCACAAGTAGGTAACTTTAACAAAGAGAAATTTATTCTCTCACATTTTAGGAGCTGAGAAGTCCAAACTCAGGGTGCCAGCTCTAGGAGAAGGCTTTCTCTCTCTCTCTTGGCTCTGGGAAAAGGTCTTTGTCTTCAATCTTCCTCTGGTTGAGTGCTTCTCAGCTTAGGCACCTGGGGTCCAAAGGAAGTGCTATTCTCCTCACTCTTGTTTCTTGGTGATATGAGGACCCCATGTCTCTCTGCTCGCTTCTTTCTTTTATATCTCAAAAGAGATTGTCTTAAGGTACAACCTAATCTTGTACATTGAGTCCTGCCTCATTAACCTAACTGCAGCTAATCCTCCCTCATTAATATCATAGAGGTAGGATTTATAGCACATAGGAAAATCACATCAGATGACAAAATGGTGGACAATCACATGATATCGGGAATCATGGACTAGTCAAGCTGACGCACATTTTGGGAGGACACAATTCAATCCATAACATTTACTCTGAGTAAATTTTTCCTCAGTAAATCTGATGATGTTGTTGTTGTTGTTAGGTGCCATCAAGCAACCCTATGTACAACAGGATGAAACACTGCCTGGTCCTGCGCTGTCCTCACAATCGTTGTTATGCTTGAGCCCATTGTTGCAGCCACTGTGTCAATCCATCTCATTGACAATCTTCCTCTTTTTTGCTGACCTACTTTACAAAGCACGATGTCCTTCTCCAGGGACTGATCCCTCCTGATAACATGTCCAAAGTATGAGATGAAGTTGGGCCATCCTTGCTTCTAAGGAGCCTTCTGGCTGTACTTCTTCCAAGACAGATTTTTTTCCTTCTTTTGGCAGTCCATGGTATCTGATGATACTAAGCCCTCATGGCTTAGAGTTTCTTTCCGACTTAATCATTCAATCTATAAGTTTAATATTCTATTGTGAATTTTATGTAAACCATTGAGTACTTGGCTTAATATACACATATGCTACCCTGCTCTTTAATTTTATATGCTTTATATCTTATAGGTCCAAAAAGTATTCTTTATTGGGTGGAAGCAACTTGCTTATCTCCAACGTGACAGATGATGACAGTGGGACTTACACCTGTGTTGTCACATATAAAAATGAGAATATTAGTGCCTCTGCAGAGCTCACAGTCTTGGGTAAGTTAATAACTCAAGCTGGGATTTCATTGTACCCTTCAAAATATATCACAGATACACTGTAAATTCTTACCACCAAATCACTCACTATGTTTATTAGTATAAACTCGCAATATCCCAGTACTCCACATGTGTCCTTGCCCTTCTTTAATTAATTGCACAGGGGTTAAATGTAGTATTTGAACACTAGCTCATTGAATTAAAGTCCAGATATATCACTCTTTAGTGTAATTATTCTAGTGATACAACTGAAGTCTAGCAAAAATGATTACTTGATAGCTGTGTTGAATAACAATTGAGAGCTTCCAAAATATCATCCCTGGGGAAAAGAAATATGAAAAAAAGGAAAGAAATTGTATTAAAAAAAAATACAGTTGAATAGAAAACACAGATGTTACTTGAGACGGCAAGGTCTCCAACATTAAATTCGAGAGTGTTGGTAAGATTGTTTTGTTAACATGGAAATACTGTAGGTATTATGTTGAAAATCAAATACATCTACGCAAAGCATTCATAGCAAAAACCGAAAGAAATTTAAGGACATAGATGGGTTCATGTTTTCAGAAAGCGAGTCATCATATATCTATCACTGCAAATTACTAATTTATAAATGAGTGGTTGTTTGAGTACTTACTTTATATAGTGCCTGTATATAGTAGGTACTCAAACAACCACACATTTTATCAACTCTTCCAGATTTCTTTTACCCAGTTTCATTTGAGCCATGTAGTCTGGAGAAAGTAACTTAACATTTGGATTTCAATTCCTTTTCCTTGTACCAACAAAAAATTGGTTATCAGTACTTGGATTTTTTTCCTCTAGAATAAATTATTTTCCTTTTAAAGAATCCAGGAAAAATCATAGGCTGTTTAAAAGTTATTCAGTAGAAATGAGAAGCTATGGTACACTGACTATATCTGCTAACCTGTATTGTAATATTATTATGCTACCATTTTGCTTTTGGGCTTTAAAGTTTATTCAGAAAACACTTTCATCTGCGGATAACATAATAATGTATATGATGGGTTAGGCAATGGACTTGTTTGTTCTTTGATCAAACTATAAATATTAAGCTAAGAATAGCAGAAGCCTTTAATGCTTGGTTTTAGGGGTAGCACTATTCTAACTAAAATATCAGCTGTCTTGCAAATGGCAACAATTTAATTTCCCCATATTTTATATGGAGTTTTTTTTTTTTTTTGGTGAAACTAAGAAAATAGAACTTTCGTATTTGCAATGTCAAAGTATAGTAACACAGAATTACTATCATAGAAATTTTATTATAATGTATATTACTAATCATAAGGCAAATGTGGTTATGAAATAAACTAGAATTTATATTAATCACAGGTAAACCCTTCCTTATAAATACATAAGGTCAAATTTTATATCAAATTAATGAGCAACATTTTGACATGGAATGCCTCAATGATATCTTAGCCGAATGTGTGTAAATACTGATTTCTGAGGATCAATTAAGTAAATTAGCTTAGATAGATATGCATGAGCATACATATATGCATGCATATTAATAGTCTTTTTCTCTGGGAATTGTTTAAATTATGAGAAATAATTATATGCTATTTAATGCAGGTAAAACTATCTAAAGATGCATAAGGAAAAAGTTAATAGTTTCCCCCGCTGCAGGCCTTGCATTCCTATCCCTCTGAGATGAATAATTTTAGTAGCTTGTTGTATTTTATTCCATAATTTCCTTATGTCTCATTGAAGTATATATGCCTAGATATAGTTTTGTACTTAGATGATAATGATTTTCTTCATGCTTGATGGTAAGTCTCCTTTACAACATTTCTATTAGATCCTGAGCAATATTATTTTAATGTATTAATCACATAAGAAATCAATCAATATGATAATATTGACATATATCAACATAAAGAAATAAATTTTAATTAAATTAACGTGTAATATAATTTGAATTGTGTATGTGTGTATATATAAAACATTTAACATTTACTGAATACAAACAGTATGTGGTATTTATTCTTCACAATATCCTCGGTGGAAGGTTATAGATGAAGCCTATTAAATAGCAGTGCTCCTGCCTAGACTAGTTCTGTACCAAATGAGAAATCATAAAAAGGGTAAGGTGTAGGATGACCCAAATATCACCTTTATTAAAAATAAAGCTGTCATTGAGAATGTGGTTCATAAATGCATGAGACAGGTGGATCCATCTGCTCACCGGCAGCAGGAACCTCAGCAAAACTTCCCTTCACCTCTTGGGTTTTCCCCACTACTTGGTGGCTGACAGCGGTTGAAAGCATGTGCCATCTTTGGTCAGATGTGTCCCAAGAGAGAAAGGTAGGTGAAAATGGCTCCTTTAATTGTCCAGTCTGGTCAGGTCATTTGTGTCATTTGCCCCCTATCCCCCAACAAGAAAGAACTAGTACTGGGGAGGGTTAGTAGGAATTCTTACACTGGTGGAGCCCCCTCCACATAGAGGAAACATCAGTATTGAAGAAGATGCTTTCACCATCTCCACCACCAACATTCCAAAAACCAAAACCAAATCTGTTGCCACTGAGTCAATTCCGACTCATAGCGACCCTATAGGATGGAGTAGAGCTACCCCATAGAGTTTCCAAGAAGTGGCCGGTAGATTCAAACTGCTGATCTTTTGGTTAGCAGCTGAGCTCTTAACCACTGTGCCACCTGAAGACATTTAGGCACAGAGGGATAATTAACTGTCCAAGTTCATGCAGCTAATAAAGGGAGGATCCAGGATTCAAATCCTAGCAGTCTGGTTAAAGAGTCCAGGCCTATGCTCTGCTACCTGCATAATCCATGCACCTCTGGTTTATCTTCTTTTTCTGAAAAGGGTATAAAATGAGGCAGGTTTTTGTGAAACAAATGAGATGATTCTGAAATTTTAGTTTGGTTAATAATTGGATATGTTGTCACTTGCATCAAATAAAATATGAGAAAATATTGAAACAATCTTGAGATGGCAGGGGAAAGGTAGGTAAGAGAAAAAGGAAGAAAGGAATAAAATTATTCTTTGAGAATGAAGTTAAAACAACTGATCATACTTACAATTTGTGGGCAAAAAGGCAGATGAAAGTGCACTTGGTATTGAATGTTACATATTCTTTAATTGTAGTTATTATTTTTTTCAAAGTCATGCACCATTTGTATAATCAATAGAACAAACATGAAGGCATAAATGTTAATATGAGAAAATTCAGAAAAATATTGAGGAAAAAATAAAACTCACATATAACCCAATGACCCGGACTTTGCAGAAACGCGCGCTCGTGCACGCACACATACGCATGTTAATTTTCTTAGAAATCAGATATATGCTATATTATAACTTTCTTTTATTTGAAGATGAATCATGGCATCTTCCTCTGTGTGTGTTCTTCATTTCCTTATTATTGAGCATCATGGGGTTTCCGAGTTTTACTAAAAAACAAAATAAAAAACATCGAGCTGATTGTACTTACATATCTTTGCCATTTATTTGCTCATATCCCAAGGAAAAGTATCCCAGAAGTGCTTATACTACCCCATCAGCAGTGTAAGAATTTGTCCCTCACCAAAAGTATGTTTCTTCCCTTTCCAATATTCACCTATCTAGTAATTTTATAAAATGGAGTCTCCTTGTTCTGATTTGCATCCCTAGTAAATCTACATTTTTAAATAATTTTATTAGACATTTGCATTTTAAACTTTGTAAATTGGCTATCTTATTTGACTTTTTTACTAATATTGAAATATTCATCCTCATTTTATTGATTTGCAGAAACTCTTTCTATAGCAAGAATAGTAACTATGAAGTCTATGTTATGTGTTTTTTTTAATTTTGTATATAGTACCAATTTTTTTTCTTTATTATTTCTGGCTTTGTTGCCATTAGACTTACATTTTCATTCTAAATGAACCACTCTGTTTCCAAAAATCTGGTTGTAGATTGCATATTGAGTGTATAAATTAGAAGCATTATTACTTTAAAAAAATAGAGCTGGGAGAAAATCTTGGGTTATGATATTTTGTTTTTTGTAAGAAATCTCCCTACTAATTTTCATTTTAAAGAACTCCCACAGAACTTTTATAATTTACAACTATTGTAGAAGGCATGATTTAATTCAGGGGTGGTTAGAATATTTTTAACTGTTGTACCCAGGCTCTAATATTGAATGTTGATATAATAAAATATTAAATATAGTCTTTGACTCTGATATAAAGTCAAAGGCTCATCCTGCAGGGATGAGTGTGTTTATACAGAAAATAGAGCTCATTGCTTTTTTTTTTCTTTAATGAAAAGGAATCAGATAAAGGGAAAAAGAATCTCATTATTAATGAATTCAAATTTTAATCATTTTTTATTTTAAGCATATTTAAATTATTCATAAGATACAATGTCATAAGAAATTCAAGCTTTAACCAATAAAATGCCTAACCTTGGACAAGCCCTGTGCACTGTCCATACAGACTTGGAAGGAGGTGGGTGGAATGTTTGCTTGGCTCTTCAGTACAAGCCATCAGATCTAACATCAGTGAGAAAATTAAAATATTTATGAACTTTCCAGAAAGGATTCTGGAATTTCTTTTAAAGGAATCTGCCCTTATATAAGCACTGCATGATTAAAAAAATGATTTTTATATGTAGATTTTCTCATTATTTTCCTTATCAAAACTTTAGAAAAGGACTGGCTAGGACTAGAGCTGGCACAAACTGGCTTTGAAGGGTATAAATACATCTGTTAGGTCAGCCCTTTGCACAAAATTGAAAACTTGAAACCAAATCTGAGAGTTTTCTGTCTTCCACACCTGGGAGTGGCACGTATCCTGGACTTGGCACATATGTTTAGACTTCTTCTACCAACTATAGAGCTCTGAGAAGAAGAAACTATTTGAGGCAAGTTTTGCCCCTGTCCTGTCTGACTCTTCTCCTTAATGAGCAGGGGTCCAAGAGTCATTGCCTAGGAATATGTAAAGTAGGGCTGTCTCCATAGATCTGAGTATATCCACCT